TTTTCAAGTAAGACTCAGGATTATCAAGAGAAGAAAGGAGCAGGAGGACATTGAATCTGAGTACAGATGACTGAATATATAGAGAGATCAGGACAGACACTAAAACAAAATGTTGTGAAACTACCCACTAGTGAACCACAAAGTAGCCCCATCTTATACCCCAACTATAAGGTGTTGACAGGTGCTTGTATGGTGTTAGGACAAAGATGAAGGGAAGGACCAGTGGTTAAAAAATATGTGTGTGACACCTATAGAAGTTTGTACAGTATCCTGTAAGTAATACAGCGGCCAAAGACAGATGCTAGGCAAGTCGCTGTGGAGAGCAATATTTTTACTCTGTGGGATCACAGATGACTGGCAGTAACCAGTCAACAGATATCTGTCAAGTGGCTAAGCAGAAACAAAGGGCACAGGAGTCAAGGAGAAATGATGCCAGGGACCAGCAGCTGAGGCTGGCTGCTCGTTGTAACAGAGTAGCTTCTGACTCCCTTCTGTTGATACCATGATCCCTGCTTCTCAACATCTGCCAATTCTTCAAAATTCAGCCACAAAAACGATCATCAAGGCTTCTGCTTCGAAGGTACTATAAAATGTCTTCTTTAATCTATACTGCTGTGCACCCTACTCCAGTTGAACAGACCTATTTGCTCGACTTGCTTGTAGAGCCTCGGAAGACAAGGTGATGTTGTCTCTGAATGTCACAGGGTTGTACTGACACATGAGCACTCTCCTGCGAGCTCATCACCACTACCCTTCACTCTTGACAGTTCTTGATAAAAATAGAGCAGAGTACTGAGAACTTCTGTCACATTCCAAACAATACAATTTAAGCCCAAACTAAAGGAACTTTACTGAACAAAAGCCTTGCCGAGAATTCTATGTCACTGTCCTTAGGAAGCCATCTTTAAACAACACACTCTTCAGAGTGTGGGCTAAGTGAAGTTTAGTAATTATTAGAAGTCCCCATTATCTTGTCTGCTTTAATGGATATTTTACTGGCTGTCATAAAAACTAGTTCATCTGAATACTTATATTTTCCATCTTTTTGAGTTATATTGACCTAGCCCAAATCCTGGAATATTATCATAAAATACTTTATTAAACTAACATTCTGAAGTGAAATACTTCCTTACAGATTCTCTCCTGAATGACAAGTATAATGGATAAGAAAATATTGAAAAGGCAAGTCTGAGTGATATAACAGCTTCATAAAAAATGAATGCCTTGTGATAATATATGAGCTTCTATGATTTGCTGTATTTTACAAATATGTTTACCTGTGTTAAAGTTGTGAAACTACGAGAATACGGACTGGGAAGGAAAATGGAAAACGGATAAAATAAGATACAACTGTGGACAATTCTCGTCTAAGATTTTCATTTTACAACATCATCATTTTCTGTAGAATATATTCATAGTGCCATGGCTGCAAAGTGCCACAGCTGTGAACTTGTGACAAAGTCATCCAGAACCAAGCCAGGAGCCCACAAGAGAACTTGCTAACTGGTCTCATTCCCTACTTCAGCAATCGCATGGAGGAAGTGTGGCTATGACATTCTTCCTACTCATTCTCATCTTGGCCAGCCTTCCACATGCTTCCAAATGACCCGTCTATCTGCACAATGAAATTCAGGTTCACTCTTCCAAGTCGTATTCTTATATTGTTCTTTAAGACTGTAACTACCTGTTGAACCTGAACTAAACACATGCAAATAGATGGATCCTAATTCCTCAACTTGAGAATGACCATGAAGAGTGTCGTAGCGGCAGCCCTGCTTTGGTTTGGTTTAGTGGTTAGTTGACAGGTTTTCGAAAGGCCTCACACCTTAGTGTCGCTAATCAGGAAGTCCTGATTCCCGTCTTTCAGCAAAGAGCTAGGATTTCCAGAATGCCTGTGCTGACCTTATGTTTTATCAAACTAAGACAGGACAGAAAATTAGAAGTCAACCTAATATTGGTAATTATAAATGCTTCTTTGCTGAGAAAACCGAGTTCTTCATATATGACAATTCACAAATACTTTGGCACCACACAAGTCAATAAAGGAACAGCCTACCAGAGCACAAACAGTTTCATGCATTAACTACCAATATTCCTGTCTAACCAAAATGATTCTTTCAAAGAAGCAATCTGATTTGTTTCGTAGGTTATTAAATTGCAAACCAAAATCAATACCCCTGCCAACATAGCACATGAATGGCTGCAAACAAATCAGTCTTAATGGATTTTAAAAATTAATTTCCTGATATTCCATCATGTTCAAGTCACATTCTAGCCCACAAGGCAGACAAACCCTCTGTAATATAAAGAAGAAAGCTGGGCTACTGAGATGAGGTGACCCAAATTCCTAGTCATAATGTAAACTGGAGATAGAAATTCAATCACAGTAGAACATCAACTTCTTATTAGACAAATTTATTACCGCAGCAAATACGCAGTCAGGTTATACTCTGCTAATTTCAGTTTTGTTATTCCAGTGTATTTTTATAATTCCCAGTGTATTTTTAAAAAGGTTTTGAAAATGAACTTAATATAAACATCTGAAACAATAAAGATTTGAGGATGAACTTACCATGAAGTTTAGAATTCACGTATATGAGCTATATCTAAAATGCCTATAAATACATGTAAATAAACTGAATCTATTTATAAAATTTAAAGAATACTACTTATGGTATATTGCTGTGAATGATCAAGTTTTCAAAACTTTCATGAATTTTATTCTAAGCCAAGCAGAAAGAAAAATCATTCTCAGTAGAAAAATCTACTGAGGAACAGCTATGCATGGCAGTAATTGGAACAAAGGTAATAGATAATATCATTTCAAAAACAATGTCAGAAAAATAAAAAAAATCACTTTTGTACTTGAATAGACACAGAATACATTTCTGCCCAGCTAGGCTGAGGTAGGAGAAAAAGATCTAGTCAGCAAAAGCTATTTTCTCAATTTGTCTTTATTATAACTACATACGAATAGCTGATAATTTGAAAAAGTAAAAAGAAATGACTCACAATTCTACCACCAAAGACTGCAAATAACATGTTATTATTTCTAATCTTCTTCCCAAGGCTTCTTAGAGAGTATAAATTCCATCTTGGAACATATCGGCATTCTCCTAGTAAGAAGTCTAGAGGTGCTTCAGAGCTGGACTTCCTGTGTGAGGGAATACCACATGACATGAAGGCAATGTGTACACTAGTCAAGACCGGCTGCAAAGAAATTTCACTGCAAGCGTCATTGGGGCCCTTTGGGTAGGAGATTCTCAAAGGTCAGGGAATTCACCTCATTTCATTTCTGAATTTTCAGATGCTCACCAAACTGGCCCTTATTTTACCAATTTAGTAACTCAGGATTAATAACTGGTGAATACATCATGCTTTCCCTTTGTAAAACTGCATTTTCTTAATCTATGTAAGAAATGTAAGTTCTCATATGAACAAGACAGAAGAGAGATACAAAGAGATACAAAATAACAAAACAAAATTAACCCCATTTTGAGAAATCAAAATCGTGTCTTTTTGACATTCCCAGTGTCATTTCTTTTTGTGTAGATCTCTACTGGTGTTTACATAAGAAAGATGGGAGACAAATATAATGCTAAAATGCTGGTGAAAATTATTCAGAGTCGTTAAAAATAAGATGATGTTGCATGTTACATTAGTCTGCCCATAAACTATTCCAAAAGACAATAATCTCCTATTCGAAGATTTGTTTTAAACACGATGTAAACACTTGGCTACCTAGAAATGTGCAAACCACAGCAGTGTGCTGCTCACAGTCATAGTCTTTTCTGTATTGAGATATGCCCCATTCACCGTGCCTCGGTTTCCTTCTGTTGGAAATGGGATAACTACCACCCTTAACTGTGGGTTAAAAGTACTGATTTACACGAACCACTTAGTCCTGGGCCTCCCACACGCTAAGTGTCTCTAAAGCCATAGAGGTCTGTTTCCTCACCATTAGGACGAAACCTCCTGCATAGATGCCAAGATTTCAGAGGCTTCCACAGTCTAATATAGCAAGCGCTGACTGAAACCTGCCTGCCACAATCTAGATACTTAGTTCAAATGTGACTACGAAAGGGTACAGTTTACCAAGCATGTATTTCCCTTCGAGATTACGCTCTCACGTGGCCATCAAAGTCTCAGCTTCTCAAGACAATCCCACGACCTTGGAGATGCACTTTGGTGACAAAAACGTGCACTCAGCGGGAAGCTGGACTTAAAGATGAAAATGTATTTTTAAAAAAGAAACTCTTCCTAGCAGCAAGTAACAACACAATCCTTATCTTTCCTCATTGCGATGCAATGAGAAAAGCAACGGAAAATGTGTTTAACAACTAGTGCCAAACAAAATGTGGTATGCTGCCTGAAAAAGCAACACTAAAAAGTTCTGTCCTGTATTCTCTTTCCATTGTGATGACTTATCAACCAACAGTTTTGCCCTCTTCGGGGGGGAAAAGGTTTTCCAAGGATTGTAGAGGAGGGAGCGGGGGGGGGGGTAGTTTTGTCACTTTCTGGAAACGTTTGCCCTTTTGATAGTGGACCGCTACTCTGGGTAGCTTCTGTGTTTGCTCAGGTCAATCTACAAACCACCGTCCTCAATAAAGGCAGGTGTTCTAAAGGACGAATTACAAATGCAAGGCTCTAAAGATCACTGCCATCTGCTTCATTCGCTTTAGAACCTGGGCGCTTTCCCTAAGAACAGTAATCACTACCTGTCTTTTCAAAGCTCTAGATGCTTTTTCATTTGCTTCCTACTCCATCCATCAGTCCAGGAGGAGATAGAAAAGAGGCCTCCATGGCAGTATCTCAAGTCCCTCTTTTGAGAGAAATGAATGGCCTCGCGGAAAAGTAAAGCGGTACAAACTTGAGACACAGAGTGGCAGAGCCTCCCCTTGGCACATAGAGTGTGGTGTAGCAGCATCTCTCGGTGCGTCCTCAGGTTCCTTCAACAGCGAGGAGCCTCTGGAGGCCGACCCGTCCCGGTCACCACTCACCTTGCTGGGCTCCAACGTCCTGGAGCAGCAGGAGCAGCAGCAGGAGCAGCCCAGGCCTGGAGGAGGAGTTGCGGCCAGGAGGGAGGGGACAGCAGCCAGCGCTGGGTAGCGGGGCCCGGCCGGTGGCGGCGGGCGCGGCCTGGCCTCGGGGACCCTGCGGACTGTGCGCGGCTCTCAGCGGAGCCCGGCTCGCCATCGCGGCGGCCGGCAGTCCGCCCGCATAGTGCGCGCGCCGCCGAGCCCCGCGCGCCCGGGGCCCGCAGCACCCGGCGAGGACGCGGCGGCAGCGCAGCGCGCCTCGACCCCTCTGCCCGGCTTCCCGCGCCCGCTGCCGGCTGCCCGCGTCGCTTCGTCGCGCTTCCCCTCCAGAGAACCCCAGCCGGAGCGCGGCGGACCGGAGAGCTGGACCGTGGTCTAGCTGGGACCCGCTCCCGCAGCGCTCGTAGCTGGACCGGCTAGCGGGCAGGCCAGCCCCACTCGCCCGCCCGCCCTCTCGCGCGTGCCGGCCACGCCTCCTCGGTCCACCGGGACCAATGAGCGGTCAGTTCTGGTCCAGCTCCTTCCGTACCGCCCAATCAGCACACTTTCTGTTCCGTCGACCTGTTAGCTCCTCGCCTGGAGCGCCACCGCCCCTCATCCGCCTTGCCCAATCGCCTTAGACCTCTGAGAGCGTCCCACCCGCCTCCCTCGATCCGGGCCCGCCCCCAAGCCGCGGTCGGGAGCGGACCCCGCCCCGCTGGAGAGCTTGGAGTTTTTGGGACCACTGCCCAAAGTGAACCCGCCGAGACTCTCCGGTCAGTGACTTCCGGGACTTCCCCATCCCGCGCTCTCCGGCTTCCCCCAAGCCAAGTTGCTCATGGCTCCTCCCCCGTCGCACATCAGGCCACTGGAAGGGGTGGGATGCTGGATGCTGGAAGAGTTCAGTGGGGAGCTGTATTTAAGGGACTGTTTTAAATAGCAGAGTGCGTTTTTCTTAATTAAAACTGCAGTTAGTTGTGGCAACATCTCATCGCAGAATTATAGATGTGATGTTCAGTTTTTGAAAGAAAAGGTATTTCCTATGTTCTTTACCGTGGAAGTCTTTGGAGGGGGTGTATAAAATAAGACCCATACTGCCGAGACAATTTAAGTATAATATCTAAACGTGAATCCAGTTATACTACGAAGTTGTCGAGCGCTTGCCATGTATCTGTAAAAACTGTGCTCAGAAAAGTCTCCGGTGTTACAGCCACCTTACAGAAAATTTGCAGATTCTGGAATGGGGAACAAATGTCAACATATCATGCAAGTCAGAATGAAACAAGAACAAATTAGAGTAATAGGCAACTTGATGGGAGAGAGAGAGAGAGAGAGAGAGAATGCCGTTTGGATGTTTTTTTTAATAGGGGCTCCCTAAAAGGAGCATGACACCTTTAGCAAACAGGGAATTAGTAGCATAGAACTAATTGTATAGGAAAGGAAGTAACAATAGGGCGTCTAGATTATCTACCAATTTATGGTAGTTCAACATGGTTCATTTTCACTGGACCAGCAAGTATGTGCTGTGATGCCCTATCCGAGTGCTTGACTGCCTTAACAAGTCAGTTTCCAAGCAGATGGGCATTCTCAGGGCTAAACAGCTGGTGCTCTAGGATGTCAGTTACCTTCCATTTATTAAATGCACTGTTGACTTACAGTATTTTCATGTTATGGTAGGTTTATCAAATGTGACTTCATCATAAGCTAAGAAGCCTCAATACTGGGATGCAAAGCTGGAGAGATAGCTAATTGGTTGAGAGCCCTTGCAGCCAATCCCGATGACGTGAGTTCGAGCCCTGGGATTTACATGGTGGTAGACGGAGAGAACCGACTTCTTCAAGTTGTACACTGTCCCCCAGTTGTGCATTGTGAAACATTTCCCCTGACTCTCACAAACTAAATACATGAGGTTTTTTTTAAGAAAAAAAAAGAGAGTGATATGTATACTCAGCCAATAAGTGAAGCTATATAACAAGCAGGTTGTGTAAATGTCAATTTTGAGAAGTTGGAAATTGAGTCTGGAATTCGTGAATACATGTGATAGCCATAAACATATAAAGACTGGCACCGTGAGAAGATCTGAGTGTTGGAAAGGACCCCAGAGACCATCTTTTTCAAGCTTTTGCATGCTCCTCACATAGTAAGACTTCTGCTCAATGTATTTGATGAGCATTTATTGGGTATCCAAGTACGCCTTGTTGTGATAGGTTCAGTAAAGACACTGGTCACAGAAAGTTCAGTGAGAGAAGCTGAAGTTCTAGTGGGGAAGACACACATTGAAACAGACCCGTTGTCACAAGTGCCAACTTGTGAACTGACAGACCCAACATTATGACCCACCCTGGCCAACAGCAAGTATGAAGCCAAGACTTCTAGGGATAGACAATCCCTGAAACAAACCCCTCCCTTGTTGAACCACCCGTTCCACATGGGCAGTCAGTGATGACTCCGGCCCACAGAGTGGACAGAACGCAGTACTTGAAGTGTCTGGCTGGTAATCCCTTCAACTGTATCACTGCACCAGAAGCAGAGTGAGCTAGCACAAGTACGGGGACCTTTCTAGAAACGATAAAGCTGAGGCTGTGGCTCTCGCACCCCTGGGGAACACAGCCCGAAAACATTCAGTATGTGTTTGTGATGAATACCCCCAGAGCAAGAGAGAGCAGTGCTCACGCTTTCTCTCCGTTTAGTAATTTTTAAAAAGAACTCTCAAAGTGGAGACCAGCATGGTAAGAGGTTGCAGAGGACAGGACAAGGAAAGAAAGAGGAGAAACCGGTGTCTGGAAAATGATGCTATCTGTCTGGTTTTTTTCCCCCCTGTATTGTTTTATGCTTCAGCTTCTGGAGTGGAGAACACCCCTCCGCTGCCTGACCATGAGAAATCATAGGTGGAGGGAAGTGAAATGTGCTGCCCACCCTGTCTCTCCTCTTCTGACTACTGAATACAACCGGCTTCAGAAGGCTACCGGGAGATAATGAAATGTTTCTCAGGAACCTCCCACAAAAGTCGCATATCAGGCATTGGTGTCAGGAACAATAACTGCCAGAAGGAAATCCTTCTCCCTCCCTCCACATACTTCTTTAGTCAAACTTACCATTTCCTTTGCCTCTGAGACTCAGTTTCCTTGCAGGTTAGCATCTGCTGAGGCAATGGGAGTAGGATGATTTTGCTCATGAGACTCACCTACATAGGGCCAGGACTGAATTGATGATTCTGAAAAATCCAGACCCAAAGTGAATAGGTTTGCAGAAAGGCCGCCATAATAAGAGTCATAGCTAGAAGCTAGGGTGGGTCTCCTAGACAACCCTGGCCCCTCAGATTTCCTACAGAATATCAAGAAGGTGAGAGCTTTAGAGATTCCTTTGGGTGCAAAGCAACAGAAGAAACCTGAACTAAGTGGAGACTTCATTCCATATGAGTTCCTGGACATGAGCCAGAACTTGGCGACAATCACAGTTGTCTCTTTTGACTGAGAAATAAAATAATGTTTTTAATGTAGGTTCTGGGGAAGATTAGGACTTGAGGAAAACACCACACAGGATTGTTTGGCATGAGATACTAGGAATTAAAGTATGCATCATTTTAATGTATATTTACTCCATGTGAAGACGTTTAAAAATAGAAACAGATTGCCAATGTGAATTTTAATTCACAAGATCTCCACCCTAATGTCTTTTTCTTCCTCTTTTTTTTCTCACTGTTGCTTTTCTTTCATATTCTTTTAGTCAATAAAAAGCAACAGGAGTTGATGTACAGAGAAAAAGAAATATGAAGAGTCACACCCCACAATTTCATCTTGTAAATGAGCTCAGGAAATGAGAATGGAGGGAAAGCCCCTGGGGCTGGCGGCCTGTGCTCCTGTCACTGCAGACATCTGGGTTTTAATGACATGATATGGTAAGAATCATTTGGCACCATCATCGCTGTTAAATGTCTTTCAAGCATTAATAAAACATAAGAGACTTGCTTAAAATGGCATTTATGGTGGAAAGCTTACGGTGATGGTATGCGATGAATCGTTGGTGAGTTTTATCAGTGGCTGCGCTTTTGACAGGGTAACTGGAAGTGGGGAATGAAGAAGGCGAGTTTGCTTTGTGATCTTCCCCTGAGGTCACAGAGAAAAAAGCCTATGGCAGTTCTAGGGAAATATTTCAAACTTCAAACACTGGAGGCCTAAGATCTGCTTGCTGTTCTCACAGGAGCGTTTTCTTTTTCTTGTGGGCTGTCGGGACAAATGTTTATAGCCACGCTTGTTGCTGATCTGCTAGTGATCCCTTCTGTGGACAGAAAGGGTTTGGATGCATCTGTCCCTTTATGTGGTTGGTTCCTGCTAGTTTGTCTTTTCAGACAAGATTTTTATGTTTATTCCTCAGATTTTCTTAACATTTATCAACTTTTGAAAAATATATTTGTTAAAGCAAATTTAATATACATATTAAAATATGTTTAGTTCCTGCAAGTAGGTTATGAGTTCTAACTTTTTCTTGTAAGATTAACAACAGTGTGTGTCAGTGACTACTTTGATTCCTTTCTGCTGTATTTGCAGTTACTGCATCTGTCTCTTTCATTTCTCCTTCTCCATCATATTCTTACTCCTTTCATTTTTCTAGGAATACAAGCAATTTGAGATTGAGAGTGTAGCTCAGTTGTAGAGTACTTGCCTAGTATACAGAAGACCCTGGGGTTAGATTTTTTTTTTTTGCACCAAAGGTAAAATAAGTAAATTAAATTAACTGGTTAATTCTCTTGTGGTTCAGAACAAAAAGCCTCCACTCTATTGTTTGTCTGTGATGGAGGCTTCAAAGGAATTTAGTGAGAGCATGTGAAAATTGCCTAGAAATGAGAGAATTAAATATACATGAGTGGTTAACATATCACTTAAATACAAATACTGAAAACAGCAGAGGGTCTGAGAGTATGTAGTTAAAAGTGAAGTAGCTTCGTGCTGCCATGGCGTTATGCTGTCTCTTTTCCTGTAGAGGTGTTTGCTGGGAACAATAAGAATTAAAGTACAGAACTGAGATGCTATTTAACATCTGAGAAACCTAGTTGTTTTATAACATTATGGAAACATCCCTGGCTTAGGTGCACGCATTGACCGTCTGCTGAAAGTGTTCCTAAATCACCTGCAAGACTCAGACCTCAGCGTACGTTTCTCTGTCCAATTGCAGAAAATGGCTGAATACGGTTATAAATTTAAAGATGAATATTTCTATGTTTTCGTTGTCTGCCTTCCTCCCCTTCTTTTCCACTTTGTCCCCCTATCTTTCTTTACCTGTGTGTGTGTGAATGTGGACACTATGCCATGGTATGTAATTAGAAGTCAAAGGCTAACATTGGGTGTTAGTCCTCAGCTTCTATCTCCTTTGGACTGATATACAAAGTTTCTTATTTGCTACATCATACTTAGCTAACCAATAGTTGCTGGAGATTCTCCTGCCTCTACTTCAC